TCCTAAGTGGCATGGTTGTTTTAGGAATACCTTTATAAATATGGCACGATGAGGCAGAAATGTGCTCATATTGTGGCAGTGAGAAAGAGAATCAGAACACGTCTTTTCCTTTGTCCGCAATATGCGACAGATAGAAAGAATTTGGATACCCAAATTTTTGAGAGACTGATGCCAGAATGTGGGATTATGTAAGATGTTGGGCCACAAAGGTTCTTGAAGAGCAGCGAAGATTAGAGCGACTGCGATATGGTGCGGCAAACAGCCAAAATCAGCTTTTAAATCCCTAAGACGTTGTAGCAAATAGGCTAGCACCCCTGCGATGTAATACTTAACGGTAGTTCGCAGGGAATCATAAAAAGCTATGAGATATGTTCTGAGATGTTTTTAGTGGGTTAAAGTCTCACACTACTGTTGTAAGGGCAACAGTGTCTTTTGATGTTTTTTTCACATCTCGCCACAAAAAACAAAAAAAAAAAACACACACACCACACCTGGAAACAGCAAACACATACCACACAAGACAACACTAGCACACACACAACTCATCATACAGCCGCACACACACTGACTAGGATCTCTACACAACACACCGAACAAAACATCTGTCCTCGAAGCGGACATCCTTCTTCTCTCAGCGATTGTGGAACACCGAACTTGCCTTTGGCGCGTAACCGCATTTTCTTGGCTCATTTTTTATAATAAAATATTTTTTATATATTTTTCTTACCGCTTCACTGGTATGCGACCAGGGAGTGATTGCGTTAGAATTATCCCTTTGTAATTACATATCATAAATAAACGAATTTTGTGAACATTTTTAAACGGAAAAATATACAATTCTAATTTCATTTGCATACGCGGAATTTATAAAGTGGCAAGTAAGTGGTGGGCTTTTTCAAAGATATTTGAAGTGTAAATTGTGATAATCTCTTTTCGAAATTCTTCCGTATGATTGTCAAATCTGTGGTCATACGGAAATCTGAATCAACAATATACTTGTATTATTCCTGGATCAGAATAAGTCAATGTAATTTTGCTTATTATATATTTTAATTAAAAACATAACTTAGATGCTCCCAGATTTATTACAAGTGTGAATCTTTTCGAGAATATCAACATCTAACTAACTTTTACTTTAGGTTATATACTCATGTTTTAATTTAATATAATACTATGTTTTTTTATAATAATAATAATAATAACCCAACGATTACCCTCCTTCGGTCCAACCGCGGGGCGCAATCCACATACGTGCGGAATTAGCCGAGTCAGAAAAGGCAAGAGAGTTTTTAAGTGTTGAGATCTAAAACTGCTCAGCTCCAGAAACAAAAATTTGAACAGCTAAGATTCATAGTTACGATATAATAAATTGTTTCATTTTTATTTATTAAGAGAAAACAATAAAGCCTTTTTAATTTTTAAAAATGTGAGTCAGATAAGTCAAATGTGCTGGAATGAGAATTAAAATGAGTTTGTCGGTGGAATGGTTCGTTTAGTTCGAAATTTGATCTACAGGTTTTTAACAGTAAAGGTCTAAACTGCCTTACAAAGCGGACCAGTATATTAAAATGAATTTCAGACCGGAGAAAAGAACTGCAAACTCTTCCATTCAAGATTTTCACTAAGAATACTATGCCAAGCATTTTCCTATGACTAGAAAGTGTAGGTAGATCTATAAGTTTTAAACGGCTAGTGTATGGAGGTAGACTTACCCTAGAATCTCATCGGAATACAGAAGGCGAAAAGTAAAAATTGTTTTTGAACCGACTCTAACTTGTCAGTATGGATTTGCTAGCTAGGGTTTCATACAATAGAGCCATATTCCAATATAGGTCTAACCAAAGTTGTAAAAAGTGTTTTAGTAATATACGGATCTCTTAATTCTTTAGAACGACGTTTAACAAAGCTGACAACAACTTCAAGACCATGGTATCAATATGAAGACTAAGATTAAGCTAAAGTTAGTTAAAACTTGCTCTAGACTATGGTGTATTATTACATAAGGAGAGAGGGTGCACAGATCTACGGGAAAAGCACATCGTCTTACATTTATTGAGATTCAATGGCAAATTATTTCTATCGCACCATGCAATCAAATTGTTTAAGTCTCTTTGCAACAGACACCTTTCAGTTGAAGTGTATGATTTAAAAAGCTTTACGTCGTCGGCAGATTATTAAATTTGTGAGAATTCTATTACAGAAGAGATATTGTTAATAAACAACAAGAACAGAATCGGGCCAAAAACAATCGGGACACCTGAAGGGACATCAATTGTATCTTAAAGAGTATCCTCGAATATCACTCGTTGTTTTTTATGAAAAATATTGGAAGCTACCCATGGCTTGAAAGCCCAGAAGATCAAGTACTTTATCGAAAGCTTTGCTAAAGTCTGTGTATATAACATCCGTATGCTTATGTTCCCTAAAACCCAATGATACATGGTTTACAAATTCAAACATGTTTGTTTGTCGATTTCCCTGTACGAAATCCATGCTGAGATGAGAAAAATAACGAAGAAATCGGAAAGGTTATATGGTATGCGATGATAGCTTCAAAAAGTTTAGGTATAACTGATAGTTTTGCAATACCTCTATAGTTTTCAATTTTAGACCTAAGTCCACTTTTATGCAAAGGGATTGTAAATGACTGTTTTCATATTGAAGGAAATATATCGTGTTTTAGAGAGGAATTAAATATCCTTGTCAAATGCAAGTAATATATTTGGCTCTATTTTTTAGGAAGCATAGACCGGGAAAAACCGGTTTATTTTAATGTTTAAAGGCTCGTGTTTTTCTGTTTTTCAATTTTTATAACTCTTTCGAAAAACTTGTACTTTTGCATTTATTAACAATTATTATTAGAACATACATTTCAAATAATTTCGTAATAATATTATTAAAATGGGAACCACTCAATTCAATATCACCATTATAATTAGGCCATGTTATTGTAGTAAGTTCTGTATTTAACTTTTTAAAATTATCTTTGCAAAGTTAAACCGAGTAAAGAAGCACGAAGTTTGATGATAAGTTAGGGTTAAATAAATAAAGTAACTGTTAACATAGACTCTAATACATTTAAATTCAAATGAGTCGGTTCCTGGAACAAGAACATCTTCAGATGGGATAGAGGAATGTACGGCAAATAGAGCACCTCCACCGATTCTGTTCAGTCGATCACATCTAAATATTTGAAATTCGCTGTTTAAAATCTCATTCTCAAAAACGTGAGGTTTTAACCATGTTTCTCTAAATCGAATTATATAGAAATTAAAATTGGAACTGTTTAAATACAAGTCGGTTAGTTTTGTATTAAGACCTCTAACATTTTGATAATAAATGCTTAGCGAATTTCTACCAATCCGTTTTTTATATCGGTGGTTGCTTTTGGAAATTTAACAATGTTTTCCTCAGTTCTTCCAAGTTTAGGCTTAAATTCGCGTATAAAAGCCCCAGGTGGCCAGAATGAATTATCTAAGATCTTTTTGAATATTTCAAAAGATACGTCTATTTTAAACGATGATATACTTCTATCATAATTAAAGTTAAACTTACGGATATTGATATCATCAATTTTTAAACGTGACGAAATGTAAGACTTAATGTCCTCCACCAAGGTATCTTTGGCAAGTCTAGAAATAAATATAGACTTGTTAGGTGGAATAACTACCTAATTTTTAACAGATGCTACTAAGTGATTAGGGGGAGCCTCTGGAATTGTGAGACACCTATTACTATTAGATAGAGCTTTTGAGGAATTGAGCTCTTTGGACGTTGACGGCTTATCACCTTGAGGGCCAGGAGAAGAGATATTTATTAGGTCATTAGGAGGAGACGTCTCTTCTGTACAAAAGAACTAAGTGTTACTTCATTGGAAGGACGTTTACGCTTAGGAGCAGGTTTGGAGGATTCGTGAGAATCATTTAGGCACTTAGAAAATTTGAAGAATACTTAACGTACAATTCAAAATCAAATCACTAAATATTTAATTAAATCACTAAATAAATATCAATTAAAATTATTAAAATTGAAGACTTTCGTAAAATAGAAACACAAAAATTCACAGCCAAAAAAATTACAGCTTGAAGTGTTGCCACCAGGGTGTTTTGGTTTCCATATATCCGAGATTTCAATGTATATACAATTATTTAATTAACACAATTATCTAAATATATTCGTCTTATTAGTGCAGTAGGAAAGCACATTTTAATAGCCATACTTTGTACTACGGAATAACATATTGTTAATAAAATTTAATGTGGTATGAAAAGCTGGGGCAATTTATTGACTGATTTCACCCCAGCAATCTATAATATACTTAATGTATGTTTACTATTTTTGCTAAGATATCGTGCATATTGGCCCATATATACGGTATACTTACCGTAATGATCTAAAATACTTTAGATATTGACCAATATTTTCGGTATAAAGTCAGTCATAGGTACTGAGATTCTCACGTACGGCATGTAGATCTTGAGACATTATAGTTTCGGTATCGAGGTTGAATGATCTCTCCATTATTATTGCAAAGTTTTATTTCGATATGGTCTTATTCTTATTCTCTTATTGTTAAGTAAGAGAATGAGATGTAATATAACGGTGTCATGATAATGTTATATATCAACATTGGTTGAAATGGGTCGAGTAGTTTTAAGATATAGAATTGCCCCTAAAAGTGGATAATGTCACTCTATTTCCCAATTGTTACCGTTATAAGGGGTGTGGGCGTTGTTATAATGCGATATTTCTAATTTTCTTTGATAAATATTCTAATCTTGATCATTTTGATATATGGCATTTGTATGATTATGTCGATTTCGATTTGTTTTAGATAAATTAAAGTAAACTTTTTTAACATTTCTTTAAAAAAGTGAAACTATGAAAAAATCTACTTAAGTGCGTTACCATAAAATTTAAAAAGGATCTATTATTCTTTTTTCTTGTTTTTTTTTTGGAAGAAAAGCTCTTCGGATATGTTACATAAATTAGAAACTTACGTTGCAAGTTCCTCGATGCCCAGGGAGTGGAGCACCGTTGGTAAACTTGGTAAGGAGTGACATGTAGTAAGTTCCTTTTGGCGCGGATAATAGAGTATCAGTACCGTACAACTCTCCTCTTTCATAGTCAGGCCACCTGCAACGGGACATAATAATAACAATGTAACTATGGCTAAAAATTCAAAAAAATTAGTCTACGATGCTTTTTCAAAAAGTATCCCGAATTTTGTATTTCTTAAGAAAGTGTTTATTAATTCATGAATATCTATTGCGTCCCCATAAGTGCATAAGTGCATTATATCTAGGGGCGATTACTTTGAACCCCTAGATATAATGCACTTATGCCAGCGTATTTTCCAATCCTCAAAGCCCTTGAAAAAGTAATTTTTTGTGGTTTTGTTCAGCTTCTCCTTCGACGCAGTTTTTATCTCCTCAATCGTTGCGAAGCGTTGTCCTTTCATGGGCCTCTTCAGTTTTGGGGAAAAATAAGTTACAGAGGTCTAGGGAATACGGTGGCTGTGACACCACTAATGTGTTGTTTTTGTCTAAATACGAGGATTGTTCAAAAATTATCGCGAATTTTGAATTTTCGCGGGCTACGTGTATCGCACCTTCACCGATATCTACTTATCTAATAGTGTAAGTGCATTACAACTGGGGGTGATTACTTTGAAGGGGAAAAAATATTCATGATTACTTTCTTAAGAAATATAAAATTCGCGAAACTTGTCGAACAAACCTCTTACGTGGATATATTTGATATAAAAGTGGCTATTTTTCATCCAGATTTGAAAATATAATTTTTTAGGTAGGTAGACGATAAACAATAATGTCGATGCTACACAATAACACAAAAGATAAATGTTAGTTATGCAAGAGTAACGAGATCTTGTATGTACTCGTAAATTGAATATTCTGCTCATACTATTTGTATGTATGTTATAAAAGGATGATGCATAAAACTCGTCAATGAAAGTAGTATTTCGAAGCTCTGGAGCAAAACAATATGGAAAGGGTTGCGTGCCTCTGGAAGTGTTGTAACCAGTTTATGCCATGTGCAGTTGGAGGTAACTTTTCCAAAGAGATTGGTTTGAAAGCGCAGTACGGAGCGCCTTTCCTTACCGAAATTTCATCAATTTTAGTGTTGTTCTTTGGCTTTACTATTCACAATTTCGATACACATACACCTGTAATACAGCTTTTCTGTAATGGCTACTTACCAAGGGTAATTGCTTTTCGCGTTGAGCTGTCGTAAATACACTCAGCAATAAGTCGATCACCAGGCAAAGACCGCACAGGAGCAGGTAGATGGCGAAAGTCTTGATACTTTGGGTCGATGTTGGTGTCCATTACAATTGGAAAAAGTTCTTCAGTCTGACGAATCTGCAATTATTATACGCCCGATTAGTTCAGTCCTGAGTAAATACATTGCTAGTAAATTATGGCTTAATTATTTCGAAGTATACATAAAAGAACAGATCGAATAGAGAAAAATTATTTCATGTCGGTTAGATTGAGATAATAAAGACGTAAAATATTTAAGTTTTGGATAAAATGCGATAAATTAGTTTTGCAAAAATCAGTAAGAACATTAGTATCTACCTCCATTGGTTTTAGGTGTAACAAAGATGTGAACGTTTATATTTTCTTGAGCATTTTGTGACTCGTTTGCAAAATATTGATGACCTTTCCAATGACCTCATAAATTCCAGTAATTAATTCCACTGTCCTATTTGGGTTAATACCTCTAATATGGATCAGAATTGGAAATGTCTCAGTAAAATTAAGCCAGAATCCGTTTAAAACTTTCTCGGCGGTAATAGATGAATATATGTACTAAGATTAGCTCTTCGCGTTAATTTACAGTAAATGTTTCAGTTGTGACTCGTAGTAGTCGATAATTTGTTACCATTACGAAAAAAAATGTAAACGCATCATCGTTCTCATAATTTGTTTCACATATATTCGTTTGAATACGAATATCGTATCTGTAGAACCTAGAGAATATTATGTTGTTTAGGGTTGATAAATTCAGACATTAAAGTATTATTTGCCTTCGTATTTTGAAACGTTTACAAAATTGCTAAAAAAAAGTTCAAACTTATTCAACACATAATTTACGTCAAAAGCGATTTCTTTTTTGGGTATTGGACCAAACAAATTTTTTTCGAAGTTAGTCTTCAAAAAGGAAATATCCTTTGAATTACCAAACTCAGCTCATTGACGACATCCGTATTAAATTCAGTATGTAAGTTTCTAAAAATTTGTGAATTATCCACGTTTTCCTTTTTTCAATTGTACATATTAATTTTATTAAGATATTTCTCAAATTAAGCGATAGGCAATGATATCCTTATATTCGGTATCTGGTGGCTTAAAATATTGTGGTCCGATTTCGACTTCATTTTTAGAATGCAAACTTTCATTTCAAGGGTTTTTATTTGAACTTGTTTAAGGATCGTAAAGCGAAAAAATATGGTTAAATTTAAAATTGCGTTATATGGAAAGTAGGCGTGTATGCAGTCCGATTTTGTAAATTTTTTATACGGACTCACATTTCGTACCATCTGCACTGTAAAATATATTGCTTCTGAAATTTTTCATTAGCGAGTTAGCCCCCTTTTATTAGTTATACCCTCAACAGAGTATATTAATTTTGCCACGAAGTTTGTAACATCCAAAAGTAAACGGCGGAGACCATATAAAGTATATATATAAATGATCACCGTGACGAGCTGAGTTGATTTAGCCGTGTCCGTCTGTCCGTCCATCTGTATATACGCGAACTAGTCCCTCAGTTTTTGAGATATCTGAAATTTTGAACACGTCTTTTTCTTGCCAAGAAGCTGCTCATTTGTCGGAACGGCCGATATCGGATCACTATACCACATAGCTGCCATACAAACTTAACAATCGGAATCAAGTGCTTGTATGGAAAACTCTTTCATTTAACGAGGTATCTTCACGACATTTGGCATGTAATATTATTTAAGGCATTCATTAAATCTCCGATGAGATTTCAAAGATCGGATGACTATAGCATATAGCTGTCATATAACCTGAACAATCGGAATCAAGTGCTTGTATGGAAAACTCTTTCATCTGACAAGATATCTTCACGAAATTCGGTATGGGTTTTTACTAAAAAAAGTTATGCAATTTCCAAAAAATTGTTCAGACCGGGCTACTTTAGCATATAGCTGCAATATAAACTGAACGATCGGAATCAAATACTTGCATGGAAAACTTTTTCATTTGACGAGATATGTTCACGAAATTTGGTATAGGTTAGTGTCTAAGGCAGTAATGTAATCTCCGACCAAATTGCTCAGATCGGATTACTGTATCATATAGCTGCCATATAAACTGAACGCTCGGAATCAAGTTCTTATATGGAAAACTTTTTCATTTGACGAGATATCTTCACGAAATTCGGTGCTGGTTTTTGCTAAAAAAAGCTGTGCAATCTCAAAAGAAATTATTCAGATCGGATTACTTTAGCATATAGCTGCCATATAAACTGAACGATCGCAATCAAATACTTGCATGGAAAACTCTTTAATTTGAAGAGATATCTTCACGAAATTTGGCATAGGTTGTTGGTAGAAGAAGTATTGCAATATCCAAAAAAATTGTACAGATCGGATCACTATAGCATATATCTGCCAGACACACTGAACGATCGGAATCAAGTGCTTGTATGGAAAAATTGTTCATTAGATAAGATATCTTCACAAAATCCGGCATGGATTTCTCTCAATGGCATATAGCTGCCATACAGACTGACAATCTAAATTAAGTTCTTATATGATACAAATTGTTTACGACAAGTTATCTTCACGACATTTGGCATGTATTATTATTTAAGGCATTCATTTAATCTCCGATGAGATTTCAAAGATCGGATTACTGTATCATATAGCTGCCATATAACCTGAACAATCGGAATCAAGTGCTTGTATGGAAAACTCTTTCATCTGACAAGATATCTTCACGAAATTCGGTATGGGTTTTTACTAAAAAAAGTTATGCAATTTCCAAAAAATTGTTCAGACCGGGCTACTTTAGCATATAGCTGCAATATAAACTGAACGATCGGAATCAAATACTTGCATGGAAAACTTTTTCATTTGACGAGATATGTTCACGAAATTTGGTATAGGTTAGTGTCTAAGGCAGTAATGTAATCTCCGACCAAATTGCTCAGATCGGATTACTGTATCATATAGCTGCCATATAAACTGAACGCTCGGAATCAAGTTCTTATATGGAAAACTTTTTCATTTGACGAGATATCTTCACGAAATTCGGTGCTGGTTTTTGCTAAAAAAAGCTGTGCAATCTCAAAAGAAATTATTCAGATCGGATTACTTTAGCATATAGCTGCCATATAAACTGAACGATCGCAATCAAATACTTGCATGGAAAACTCTTTAATTTGAAGAGATATCTTCACGAAATTTGGCATAGGTTGTTGGTAGAAGAAGTATTGCAATAT